ACAGCTAAACATCAAGGACAATGCACAAACACAAACAAATACAAACACATGCAAACACTCTACCCCATAGGGACATTCGGGATATTTACAATGTATGAAGGAGAGATAACAAAGACACACAGTCACACACACACACACACATACACACACACACACACACACACACACACACAATGCTAAAAGCACAGCACACAATATGGAGCTCTTAATTCACACACAGAAGATTGCCCAGGAGGCATATCACAGATAAACAACAGAGATGAATAAGCATAGCTACCTCCTGCCCCACAGGCATACTGTAAAAATGTATGTACCACATGCTATGCCAGTCCATCAGGCACACACAGGTACTGGTAACACATTGAATGACATCCACTCACACAGCACACCTGTATAACACACTGTCAGATACGAGTCCATATATATCCAAAGCTCTTGGAATTCAGTAAATGTTTCTATAGGAGAAAAGAAGGACCAGACCTGGGGAAGAGAAGAGGAAGAGGGTGGGAGAAAAGTGAAAAGAGGGGACGGTGAATAAAATTAGCATTTGGAGGAGACTCTAGGAAGGAGGAACAGAGCCAAGATACAATGTGCAGCTGGGTCCCCTCGCTCCTCCCTGCCTAGGTCACGATAGCAAAGAGCACTGTTGTAGAGGCTACACATAGTGGCTACAGCAGTGGGTAATGGTACCCCAGGAGAATGAATCGTAAGCTTGGGGCCAAGGTTTGGGCCTCAGTCTCAGCCAGAGCAATGGAATCAAACCACATCTCCCTGAGCTCCCACAGCTGCCAGTTCATCTCCAGGGAGGTCTGCTTCAACTCTTCCCATCTTAGTTATCAACAAGTTTGAATGGTCTATGTCTGACTTTCCCCTGGCATCCTTTTGCAGAATAATGATTGCCAAAACTTTCAGGATACGTATCTCATCCTGTCTTTTTAAAAGTACACTTCAGCCGGGCATGGTGGCACATGCCTTTAATCCCAGCACTCGGGAGGTAGAGGCAGGCGGATCTCTGTGAGTTCAAGGCCAGCCTGGTCTACATAGTGAGTTCCAGGACAGCTGGGGCTACAGGGAGACCCTGTCTCAAAAAGACCAAAACAACAACAACAACAAAAAGTATACTTCAAAAAATGAAAGGGCAAATTTTGAGTGATCTTGAGGAAGCTTGTCCTGCCAAAGAAGACAGGATAGGTCAGGATGGTACAGAACTCAAGCAAATCTTGCTTGTTATGTAACTAACCAAATAAAAGTCACTTCTTGGAATCTCAGGATTTTCAGTGAAATAGATTCAGATCAGCAAACTTTCTCAAGCAGCCAAGCTGGTCCAGACCATTTCAAGACACTGGGATATAAAATTAAGAGACTGAAAGCCATCTTTCAAAGTATACAGTCTAAGGGAAGACAGAGATATGTAGTGTAAAACTCATACCATGAGGAAATGGAGGGGTAGGGAAATGTATAGACTTGTTCTTTTTGTACTGAAAAGGAAAGAGAGAACTAGCTGAAAAATCTAATGTATATACTTCTTTGCTTCATTGTATACTCATTATCTGATTCAAAGCTCATAAAATAAAATGAAAAAATTAGGGATCGTTAAACCCATGTTATAGGCGAAGAAGCTGAGGCCACCTGGTTCAGATAGCACAGTTAGAAAGTCCAAACTCACCAAGTAGTCTGACTTCAAAGTACCTCTGCATTTCTACAACATGTGAATAATTATTTCCATAAGCTTGTAAGACTCAAGCAAGAACCAACAGAGGTGGATGTGATAACAGTCAATGAAATGAGACTCTGTGGACTGGAGCGATGGCTCAGTAGTTAAGAGCATTAGCTGCTCTTGCAGACCTGGGTACGGTTCCCAGCACCCTTGTGCACTTACATACATTCAGGCAATACACTCATACACATAAAATTTAATAAAAATTAAAAAGAGACTTTGTAGTAGATGGCATGAAGGAATACTTTTGATCCTCCCACCTGTAGTGGGAACCTTGCAAAGGTTGTTAAACTTATAGTCCTTCACCTAAGGACCATGATGCACCAGTTTCTGGGTCTGGAATCAGACTCAGCACCACTGTCGGCATTTAGGTTTCTTATGTTCCTGGTGAGACCCTCTGCCCTCACATGGTGCAGTCCTCCACTGTCATCCTGCTGTCTGCAGAGTGAGGTGACAGGGATGTTCATCTGGCTTCTTGAGTTTCTCCAGAAATCTCTAAGCAGAGAAAGGAAGAAATGACAGTAACATGGGTTAGCATAGGATTGGGGAAATAGTTCAATCAATAAAGTGTGTTCTGCAGAAGTGTGAAGATCTAAATTCAGATCCCCAGATCTTACATAAAAGCAGGGCGTGGCAGTCCATTTGCCTGTAATGCCAGCCCGGGGTTGGGGGTGGGGTGGGGAGTGGAGATAGCTTATTGACCTGCTGGCCTAGATGAATCCATGAGCTTCATGTTTATTGTAAGACCCTGATTAAAAAATAAAAGGTGAAAACTGATTAGGAAAGATTCCTGCATTGACCTCTGGCCTCCACAGACATATATACACATGTGCATATGAACCCACATACACGTGTACACACCACACAAAGACAATAGCACTCATGAGCACATGCATGTGCATCCGCATATGTGCATGTGCATGCACATACACACACACACACACACACACACACACACACACACACAAAATGTAGTAAGCACAAATTTGGGTTTAGGCTGAAACAAATTTTCTTCTCAGGTTCCATGTCCTGTAACACATCTTTTTTTTTTTTCCTGTATCCTGTACCATCTGTTGTGTATTTTGGGGCAGCAGCAGAGTTGGGAGGAACATTTGGGATTATTTAATTTTTTCTTAGGAAGGAAAGGAGAGGCCCAATGATATGCCTTCATTTATTATGCTTTGATTGATAATTGTAACAGAAAACATTATTAAAGTGTCATGCCAGAATTATGCTATGCTTACTTATCAACTGCATGTGCTGTGTCATTAAATGCCCCATTAGGCACGTACTAGATCTGTGACTTTTACATGAGCAAACCAAGGCTCAGAGACATACAGTGACCTGTCATGAGTTGCATAACTAGCCAAAGACAGCACTGAGATTCAAACCAGGCCCAATTGGCCTTTAGCTCTCACTCCTAACTGCTGCGGTGGGTTGTTTCACTGACCAACATAGCAAAAGGAGCACAAGCCATCTTGAGTTAGAGAGAAGAAAGTCCTTGTCTAGAGAAGAGTGCCTCCTTCAAAGTCACCCTTCAAAGTCACAGGCACATCATACCTGAGCTCTGAGTTTCCCTTCTGCTTCCCTCCCCAGGCTTGCTGCACCAGGCTTGACCCTATCACCTGTTTTCAGTTTGATTTCATCCAAAAAAGGTTTCACTTTGCCTAGAAAGGGACATTATAGGTTACTAGAAAATGGCATTCCTCTGTCCCACCACTTCCTCTGTAAAGCCTCTTATCAAGCCTGAATGGGCCGTGCACTCCCATGCACGCCTGTCCTCCCTGCTCTCCCATAGACAGGGGAGACCATGAGACAGGGTTGAGGGAAAACAACACTTGGGCTGTGGGCGAGGGGGAGAGGAGCAAGAATATTTCTTTTTGGACAGTATTGGGGAAGAAACTCAGGGTATCATGCATGCTAAGCAAGCTCTGTACCACTAAGCTATACCCTAGGTCCCAAATGTTTGGTTTTTAAAAATTCGTTGTTTTATTTTTTCAAATGGAGTTTTAAGATGTATTTCCATGGTTTACAATTCCTGTTTTCTTTTCTGGATACTTGCTCTCCATTTTCCATTTAAAAGAGATCAATTGCTATCTCCCTATGAATTCCTTTGGGAGGATAGACTGTCTACCCCTCAACTCCATAAGTCTTGTTTGGCTCAGTTGGTGAAACTCCTGCTCCATCTAGAGGGTGCAAACATCCCTCAGTTGTGGTGGAGCTGGAGCTGAGTATTTGGTCCTAGATTGGAAAGAGACCAGGCTTGGGGTGTTGAGGTTACTATTGGCTGGAGTCTCCCCACCCAAGTTGTTCATGTTGAGGATGAGGGGCTGACTGGTAAAGCTGGGAGGCCACAGAATTCAAATATTGTTGTTTGTTCTGTCTTGTATTCAACACGGGGATTTATGCTGGCATTATCCAGTTCTGTCTGCTGAGATTTGGCTCCAGCCTCAAATTCCCAGGATGGGAAGGTTAATGGCTGCCTTTGTTCTCAAATACATTACATTTTCTCCTTAGCTTTTCTTGGTCTTTAGTGAACATCTTCAAAATTCCTTCCATGTGATGAGTTTACTCAAGGCTTGAACAAGCTTGACCTGAAATGCTAAGCACTCTTCTTTCATCTGCGAAGGCACATTGGATTTTCCATCTGCAAAATGGATCAGACGCATTTCTTTTCACATGGTACATTTCTCAATCTCTGCTCACACCTGGGAAGGAGAAATGAGTAGTATATCTCATACTTAGGAGTTTAACCAAAATTGTTAGTGGTATCTAGAGCAAGACACCTAGACCTTGGTCAAGACACTACAAGTGCTCGGACTCTAGTCTGAGCTCCAATATGATTAACTTAATCATATTGTTAACATGGATTAACTGTGACACTTATATATATAGCAAAGACTCCGTGTATGTTAGGTATTATTTCTGAGATCATTGTTATTATTATTATTAAAGACACCATCTCCTACAGGCTTGGTTTCCACATCTGCAACATGGATAATCGTTCTCACCTTGGCATTAGGTTTAAAGGAGCTTGAAATGGTGCTGTTTCCATAACTTGTGGCTACAGTCCTCTGTCCCCCTCTCCCTCTATCTCTCCCTTCCCTTCTCCTTTCTTCCCTTCTTGATTTTCTAGAGTACTTCACCCTTGGCTTTCATTCTGGCTTCGTGTTTCTTATTCAAACTACCTCTTTCTGGCTTTGCTGCTTTCTTCTTTGTCTCTTTCAATCTTGTCTTTCATGACCTACCATAAAAATATTCCAAAGTCATTTTGCTATTTCAGGCTTTCTGATACTGTACCCCACCTAGAAGAACAGACTTCTAGACATCGAGGGACCTGAGAACTCCCATCTACTCCCTGAACCATGAAGAAACTCCATGCGTACCAGATCTCCAGCACGGTGAACCAACAGAGGAAGTCCTTCATCGAGAACAGCACTCAGAAGGGAGGGAGACCTGGGAGGACTGTCAAAGATGCTAGTGAGGCAAAGCTTAGGTTTGAGGCTTCACACAGGCATGCTAGAGTCAGCTTGTCTGGCTTCTGAGGACAACAGTGCACTTCCCTGCCCGGTCTGCATTCAGGAAATCACATTGGTAGTGTGAATTGCCCAGGGTGGAGGTAATTATACCCTGGAAATCAGCCAGTACTATAAATCAGCACCTTTTCTTCCCCCAGTGAGCCAGTTGTTAAACATTACCAGCACTCAGCTGAACCCATCTCACCAGTTGTTTGCAAGTCACGTGACTGCTCTGAGCCTCAGTTCCTTCCTATGTACACTGAGAATACTATGGTACCTTGGGTCCTCTGGGAAGCAGATTGTGAGGTAGGGTTACAGCATCCAAGAATTGTTGTGTGGAAAGACCTATGTGAAAGAAGAGGTGTCTAACCTATGCCAAATGCTCTACTGAGTCCTGGAGATGGAGTAATGTTCATGACTACCATCCTTAAATATCTAGGTCCCTTCAGAGGAGATTGTTAAGTGAAAATGCCATATTCAGAATAGTACACTAAGTAGAAGGTAGGAGGTGCTGCTTAGAACAACAAGCGATTTAATTAATCCTCGAATGAGCCAGCATTAAGTGAAATGGAATTCTAGGCAGAAAAGCCATCAAAAGCCTGGAGATATGAAGGGGCGGAAGACTCAAGGACTTGTGAGCGATTAAACCTTGACTAAGCATAAGACACAAAAGTGAAATTAGTGGAAAATGTCCATGAAGCAAGCATCAAGGTCAGTCAAGGCTAAGGAATTAGATATGCTTGGTTATTTTGTAGACCACAAAGAAGTGAGGAGTTGTTACTTCACAGAAATTCATGATTTAGAAGATCTGTGGCTACAGTTAGGAGAACATACTGGAGGCAGGCAGTCAGAAGACACGGTTGGAGCCTCTTGGAAGGAGGAGGCGGGACCAGAGACTACCAGGAAGTCATGTCAATAAGGAATAAAGTAGGGGAGCAGCCTGCAGCAGGTGACTGTTGAGTTTGGAAGATCAGCAGAGTGGAGAATATAAATTTGTCTAAGTATCTAGCTTATATCATTGCTTATATCCAGACATGTCTGTAGACCTTCTAGATAAGTTTTAGTTTTCAGATTTCCAGTCATAACTGATTAGTGGTTGTGAAATCAGTTTGCTAGATTGCGGCCATCATTTAAAAACTCTCAAAATATAATATTATAGAGTATATTCTATAGCAAGGGTAAGGATTGTTTCACAAAATTTGAATTTCAATCATATGTATACACATCAGTGTACTACTAAATTCAGTTGGAAAATATATGAATCATAACCAAAAATGTTTTCTAGATCGTGAGCTCCATTAGGACAGGGCTATGTCTAGTATATCTTGAGCTCATGGAATTGCAGGTTGGAGGAAGCCTTTGGTTTTAGTGGGTGAAGAAAACTTGTGTCATCAAAGCCCCCTTTCTTCTTCTTTGAGTTTGAAAACTAGTCAGGAAAATGACTTTAACACAACCAGATAGCTCTCATAATATACCTGTCTATACCAGTGTCAGTTCAGAAAATGAGTGGATCTATGTTTGTATCTGTGAATGAGTATTGATTATACATTAATATAATAGGGTTGTATGCACAAGTGCATGAATGAATAATTAGGTGGATGTTGACTATATGAAAACAGGTTGAAGAAGCACCAAAAAGGAAAGAATAGGAGGGAACCCAGGGCGAGAAGAGTCTAGACTGTGAGACTGTACAGTCTTAAGCAAGGACTGACCCTAGGTAGGGGACAACAGACAGTTGGAAGTAATCATGTGGCCAGCACAGAGATCAGCCAGATTTGAAGTGATGATGGCCTTGCAGTAGACTTTGTTATGCACCCATTTATTGGGTGAGCTATTAACTGGCCCATCATGGGGATTGCGAGGCACCTGACATCAGGGAATGGATGAGGCGTTTGGGGTGGGGAGAGATGGGCTCTTTTCCCCAGCTCTGGTCTGCTGAGTCATCCTAAGCACTGAGTGGTGCCATGCCATTATTCATCAGTCCCATGAAAAGGAGCCAATCAGTTTCTTGTGCCTTGGGCCGCCTCAGAAGCTGCATAATCAGTTGAAGAAGGCACTAAAGTAAAGAATACTAACTCTAAAGATCGCCAAAACTTAACCAAGCCTGAATAATTTAAATGACTGGAGTCAGGTCTGTGTTTTAGTCTGGACTTCTCTGTGTATTTTTAGGTGATATCACAATAAGTCACTTTAACTTTGAGTTTTAATTTACCCATTTAGAAAATGGTCATGGTTTTTGTTATTTTTTTAAAATAATGTCACGTGCTTTTCAAAGAGTTTAGGACATAAATCCTTGTGCTCTTACTCCCTTTTTTGCCCCAAATTTCCCATGCTTCTCATTTATTCTTTACTTCATTTATTCAATAAATATCTACACAAGTGTCTATTGGATGCCTACTCTATACCAGCCTGGGTTACAGGAGAGAATCAAAGAGTCAGAACTCCTTTCCTTTATTGAGACAGCATTACAGCAAATGGGTTTAGTACAGCATAACTATAGGGGCACCATTTTCTCTGTTCTAAGTTAGGAGGAGAGAGGGAAACGTTTTCATTTATCAGGTGGTGATAAGTGATAGCATAAAAAAAGAAGATCAGGAAAGAAAAAGAGGAGAGGGGCTGCATAATTTTAAATAAGGTGGATAAAAAGAGCCATTTTGGAGCCAAGAATAAAACCAATGAAGGACCAGAAAGAAGACCATCCCAGGCAAGGAGAAGAGCATGCTTTATGTCTTTGAAACTTTCATACAGTGTCATTTGATCACTCCTCCTCCTTCAACTGTTCCCAGGCCCACCCCTCCCTTCTCTACTCACTAAACTGTGTCTTCTCTTTTTTATTTAAGCCCATCAAGTCCATTTTGTCCTGCCCATGTACTCTTGGATGTATGAGTGCATGGCCATCCACTGGTCAGTTTCCAGGGATCATACCCTTACAGAAAACTGACTCTCCCTCTCTCAGCAGCTGTCAATTGCCAGTATCTCCACAGGTAGAGATGGGATTTCATGCCCACTTTTCCTCCAATACTGTGATTTTGTCTGACTTGAATGTTGCAGGTCTTGTATATGCTGTCACAACTGCTGTGAGTTCATATGTGCAGTTGCTCTGTTGTATTCAGAAAACACTGTTTCTTTATAATCATCCACTACCTCTGGCTCTTAAAATCTTTTTATCCACTCCTCTACAATGGTCCCTGAGTCTTTTGAGGAAAAGGTATTATAGAGGTGAACATTTAGAGCTGAGCACTATGAAGTCTCTTACTCTCTGCACATTTATCAATTGTGAGTCTCTGTGGTAATCATTATCTACTGCAGAAAGGAACTTCTCTGATAAGGGTTAAGAGATGAACTAATCTACGGATATAACAAGTCATTAAGGGTTGGTGTAACATTATGTCTATTTAGTAGAATAATAGTAGTAGGTTCTCCCCTAGGGTCTATGATCTTTATAGTTACAGGTTCTTGCCCCAGTAAAGGTACCAGGTATAGGTTTCATTATGGAGCAGGCCTAAATCCAATCAGAAAGTGATTGGTTACTCACATAACATTCATGCCACTATTGTACCGGTGGGTACTTCTTGCCAAAGTAGGTCACTTTTGTAGCTCATAAGGTTCACAGCTTGGTAAGACTGAGGATTGCTTTCCTTCTACAGTGGTGCACATAGCACCTCCCAGAACTATGAAAGCTAGCCATTCGGGGTGAAGCCACCAAATGAATGTCAGCTTGATTTCCACATGACTCACAGTATGCTATGTCTTCATCAATAGGGTGTTGCCATCAAGTAAAGAGGCATTGTTAATGGAGTTCCCTAAATTTATTTGACTATAGTACACTTTATCTTAGGGAGAAACTTTCAAAAGCCCACATTTTAGGACCAAGATGAACCTTTGTTAGGACTCTCCCATCCTCAAGAATGTTCTTTAGTTTTCCCTCAGACAGCTTCTGTCACTCTATCTTTCTAGCACAAGGTAGCCATCTTGGTTTACCTCCTGTTTGCCTCTCAAGAAGGAGAAATGACCTCAGACTTTAAAATTTTCCTAGCCAGCGGGGAACCCCTTATGAAGCAGAAAGAGTCATGGCTATGAGAATTGGGAGGAAGCCAAGGGAATGAGGGGCCACCTCTGACCCTGGTCAGTGGAAGAAGAGGGCACGGCTTTTTGCTTCCTACACCCCTCTCAAGTCATCTGAACAGTAAAAGTTTGGCAGGTCAGTTCATGCTGTATAAATTAAATTAGTGATGGTATGTAATGGCTACAGTTTGATACCCACAGGGATGGGATCTTTATCTTTCCTCCCTGGAGCTGATGGGAGATGCCAACAGGCCCCCTCCAGATTTCAACAAAAGGAGACTTGTTTTTCTCAGTCTCGTTTTTGTCTGTGTCTTTCGCAAAGTCATTCTCTGTTTCTGTTTTTTTCTCTTCGGTGTTCTCCTTTGTCTCATAAATTTGGAGTGAGTTTTTCCAACCTGGAACTTGATGATCTGGCTAAACTTTAGGAAGTAAGCGGAAGATGAGAATTGACATATTAGAAAGAGAAGTGCATGTGGTTTCACCTTAAGATACATATATTTCTATTTTACTTCAATTTTGTTCCAGTCAACGAAACACTTCTTAAAATTCTACCAGGGCCCCTAGCATAGGCATCAAGGAGACAAATACAAGTCCTTTATAACCATTGTTTCAGCACGGTAAGGGAGGTAGATAATACAGAGTGAACTAAGTACTAGACTGGGAGGTACAGGCAAGAAGGAAAGTGGGTGGATCTGTTGGAAGACAAGATCGTGTGGTGAGTTTGGAGCAGGAACACTCTCTTTAAGAAGAGCATTGGTTTTCCGCGTGTAAGACAGCTTCGCCTTATTGCCCCTGCAAACTCCTCTGCTCTGCTGATGTCCTTCCCTGCTCCTCTGATAACAGGCCATGATGTTGCGGTTCAGGTCACATTCATGTCCTCTGAGAAACTTCTTATCTTTCTTCTCTGCCTCTCTTCCAGTCTTAAATATTAACACTTGAATTTTATGTCTCTAAAATAATATTTACCCCTTCAACCGTTCAAAAAATACTTATCAGATGCCTCTTGGGCCCCACATTTTGGTAGAGCTTGGAAGGATGTACATTGACAAGTAAGGGCATAGCCCTGGCCATCAAACACTTAGCATCCAGTGTGAGACAAACACATCATTTGCATCAGAAAACTAACAAATGTGCAGAAAAAAACAATCCTCCAAATAAGAACACTGATATACTAAGAACTTGAGGCTGGATCACAGCTGGTTGGTAGAAAAATTTGAAGTTTGGTATAAATGGTGAAGATTGTGAAGAGGAAGAGGAGAAAAGAGACACAGAATCCCTGGGTCAGCGTAAGCGTTTGTTTTTTTGTTCTAAATATAATGTGAATTTGGGATAAGACTTTGTTTATTCATCATTGTCTTTCTAGTGACCAAAAAACCCCAAATCTGTCATGAGGCACTCAGTAGGCATTTATGGAAAGACTTAATGTTGTGGTAAGATTCTACTTTACAAACATCAGTGGGCTGATATATGGAGGATGACTTGTAAGGAATCATTCAAGGGGATGCAGATCTCACAAGCAAATATGTAAAGTCATGAGTTTAGAGTACATTTTTAACCTCATTGGGGGTGTGACAGCATAATAACATGGCTATGATTTAGAATGTTAGAGCCCATCAGCCCTGACTCCTCAGTTCAAATCCCAGTTCTGCCACCATGACCAACATTACCTTAAATGTACAGCTTTGAGCAATTGTATTGTAATTTTTTAAATATTTTATTTATTTTTTTTATTTTATGTGAAAGAGTATATTGC